TAGTACATGGAGGGGGCTCTCACTCTAGTCTACAGAAAGGGCAGTCGACATCCAAGGCAGCTGCCCAGGAAACCAAGGAGCTCAAACTGACTCACTTTGGAAAATACCCCAAGGGAAATAAGACATTTAGTTCTTAACAACCCTTCACAATCCACACATTCATTTCATCCCTAAGATCAATAAATACCGAACATGATGCCTCCACCAGGATCATTATGTGATTCCAATTTCAAGTTCCTTCAGCCAGCCTCAAGATTTCTCATTCAGATCATGCACTTACTTGGCTTCACAATGAGCCTCGTTCCTTGGGCAAACTGCAGCTTCTCATAGCCACTTCTTGAATTCACACATCATTTACTTCCCTTGCAAAAACCTTCCCTACTCCGTGAAACAGGGAAGCATCTGATTTCTGGACAGGAATGAACCCAGATACCTCCATCCCAGGCTTACCCACTCCCGCTCCAGCAAGGAAAATCTAGACATTCCATTCTGGAAGTTACCTGGACAGGTGTTTGTTTGTTTGTTTGTTGATTGTTTGGGTTTATTTTATTTATTTATTTATTTATTTTTTATCTCTTTACTGTAAGCTTGCTTGCTTTGTTCCTCACGAAGAGCTCAGATCCTATGCAAAATTTGAAGTCTAAGGGAATTTGCAAAATAGGTGGATGCATAATATAATAATAACCAGCCATGCATTTCTGTGATGCATATGCATGTTTTAATTTTCATAGGCGTAGATTATGTGGGTTCAAATGCATTTAGGTGGATAATTTGTTCTTTTAAGTCTTCTCGAGGGGGTTGAATGCAGCCCCACATACAACTTCTCCCATCACATCAGAGTGTAAAGCACTCCCTGCATTTGGCCTGGAATCTGGGTCAAGTCAAGCCTAAATACAGCTGTACAGTCTGTACCCATTTCGGTGCTTACTCAGAAAACCTGGATTTTCCTCCCATTACTTTTTACATTTTTCTTTTCACTCTCAGGTTTCCTCTTCTCGTGCCCCCCACCAACATTTAACACCTTTCTGGAAAAAATATCAGAACCCTGGTTTCATCTCCATGAATCTAAGGCTGAATCCATTAGTAATATCATTCCGATCATTCTGATGAGAATCAATTAGAATTATTTAGTCTAAATCTGACATAATAAAGGCAGGAAAAGTAAGCACAAAATTCTGGCAGTATTTGAGGTCCACACCAGAGAACAAAAATGAAACCCTATCCCCACAAATAACCCCCTGCGTTAAGCAGCAGTACCTTCATGCAGGCACCTGACCCTAGGAATTCTTGAAAATCCCAGGCATTTTTAATTTCAGTTCAGAACGAGTAAAATCAGCCCTTCAAAATGCATTTCAATCCCTCAGTAAATTGCATCAGGTTATTCTGCTGAGTTGAGACCTCCTGGCCTATGTCACTTGGAAATGACATCTTCATGCTTTCCAATCTCAAAATGAGCAGCTTACCTGACGTGTTCCACCAACATCTACGAGCTTCTCAGGTGGAAAGCCCACAGCAGCTCAGCCCTTTATGAAAGCCCTTCTTCTTTGCTCCCCTGAAACACAAGATGTTTTCCTTGCACCTGAATTTTAACCCTTTCTTGCCTCATAACGAGTATCAACAATGTTAATTTTACAGAAATTTGCTAATTAAACCCAGGAATTGAATGTTAGAACCCACAAAAGATACAGCTGTAAAATAAAAGCAGTCACATTTTTTTTTCTGCTAGCGATAACAGATACAGTAGTGATGAAATAAATTAATTCTTCATTAGGTAGGTTTTGCAAGAACAGAATATGTGTAGATTTTCTTTAGTTCAAAAGAATATTTATTCTAGAACTTTTGCTTAGCTCATAAACGCTTTTTACAAAATTCATTTTCCTTCTGTACTGAAGTCTATGATGAATAAAAACAGATTTTCAGATTAGAGAACAGCTTGTTAATCAGTTCCGCTCCACTTAAGATTTCTTAAGTGCGTTTCTATGAAGGACATCATAAAAGAATTCAAAGTATTAAAAGTGTCTGTTCAGAAATTTTCTTTGTGCACATCAGAAATTATTGGTTTTGGTTTTGTTCTTTTTTTTTTTTTTTTTGTTCTAACTGAACAGTGTGATACCACTTCACAAAAAAATCTTACCTCACACAGCTTTTTTTCTTCCTTTTCCTTTTTTCTCTTTTTACCCTTTCCTCTCCTCTCCTCTCCTCTCCTTTCCTCTCCTCTCCTCTCCTTTCCTTTCCTTTCCTTTTTCCCCTTTTTTTCACTGCTATGGTGAGAAATTTCCACATAGAGACCCTCAGGGCTCAAAGAGCAAAAGAGACTCCCAAGAACAAGCTGTTCCCCAAGATATTCCCCATTTCTTCCATGTCTTTCCTAGGTGCATCAACTTGCCCTCCAATTCTTTTAGCTATCATCACCAGAAACCTTGGCACTTGGTGTTCAACCACTCAGCCTACGGTTCCCTTAACCTCTTCACTGCCTGATACTAGAATTTTTCTACTCCATTCCCTACTGTTTCAGACATTCTTCTTGTTTAGCAAGAGATCCATATATTTGGAAGACTTTAGCTGCTTTGAGAAGCAATGATTTTCCACGGAGACACCTTCCCACGCTCACGCCTTAATTCTAGAACACATCTTTCCTTCCTCTGTATTTATTCATAAATACAAAAATGAAAGAAAACACCAAATATTATTCCTGCTTTTCCAAGTTTGCTGCTCTAAGTGATTGCCTTCCATTCAACATTTGGAAATACATTTTTTTAGGGTGTTATAATGCTTTCTGCCACAGGAGAGAGCTATTAGCTTGGAACTTCAACCTGCTCAGCAAGACTGGACACCCAATTAGTAGCCAGTAAAGGCTCCCTATGGGTCCCACTTAGGGGAAATAATGTTAGATTTCTTTTACTGGGTGGGAGTTTTGCCTTAAATGCTTGAATATTTTAGATACAAATTGCGGGTGGCATCTTATAACGAGAGGACAGAGCACAAAATGTTCTGTGAATCATTGAGTGCAGCAGGGCTGATGCTGGGTTCCCTGAGGATGGAAGGGATCTCATATTTATTTAACTGAGCCCTAAGCTAGTTTTGCTCTTCTTGTGACCTAAGTGACTATGAGAAAATGAAAATTTCTGGTCTGTCTTGCCTGTGAGGCTGGCAAAGGTTTGATATGGAGTATGACACGAAAGATTCTGGTATCATCAGCAAATCAGGGTAAAAATACTAGTGAGCAAAATGCCTGATTTTGAGGGGTGGAATTAATTTTAAAAAGAATTTTCCTGGGTTTGGATCCGCTGTGCAAACTTCATTTTTCTTCTGGACAAGGTGAAGGTCTTTATCTATGTTTCTGTACGGTCTGAGGCACCAGCCTTCCAAAGCTTATTTAAATAGACCTTACTCCACATGGAACGGGTTGCCAGGAGAGGCTGTGGAGTCTCCTTGTCTGGAGAGCTTCCAAACCCGCTTGGATGCAGCCTGTGCCACAAGCTCCAGGTGACCCTGCATGTGCAGGAGGGTTGGACTAGATGACCTCTGGAGGTCCCATCCAACCTTAAGGATTCTATGTGATTCCATATGATTTGACACATGCTTTGTGGGTCTGTCTTGRCACTAGCACTGCAGCAGCCAGAATCTGAGAAATCTGACAAGTTTCCCCTCGCGGATGTGGTTCACATGTCTTCTCAAACAAGGGGGAGTTCTCCTTGCAAGGTACAACCCAGTCACAAGCAGCAACCACAGCAGCCTGGCTGTTTCTTGTGAGAAAAACATGAGTCTTGGTGTCTTTGAGATGACTAACCAAGTTGTTGGGGCAGCTGTACTGCTACCTCAAACCACCACATGTTATTTCCTGTTGGCCCCTTTCCAGTATCAGTGAGTGGAAAAAAACAGCAAGTTCTCTCCTTCTCTGAGATCTGTGTTTTCCTTCCTACTGCTCATATCAACCCTGCTCTTAATAGATTTCTCTTTGAACGCATCTCCCTTTTTGCTATAATCCAGAATGTCTTGGTCGAGTCTCTTCAACGGTCTCTGAAAGATGAAGTCTCACTCAAATCCCATGAATCTAAAATTGGTGGCCCTCCTGAAGCCCTTCAATATGCCCAGGAGACCCTTCCTTTCTCTGTTCAAAGCCTAGAAAAGACAAAATCGGCCAAGGGGAAATACAGGCTGTCATAGCTGGATTTCTAGATCTAACTGATCTTTGGTTGGAAGGGACCTCTGACCAAACTCAAGCATTCTATGATTCTATGATTCTATGATTGGACAGAACAGTTGGATTTCAGCAATCTCCATCCTAAATTGAGAAGAAAGACCACAGCACAAATGACAGAACGTTTTGGCACAGGAAAACTTTATTTAGGAAACCTAAAATGCAGGAGTCATATACTTAGCAAAAGAGATACAAGGTGAAGAAATGCAAATTAAAGTGTTGCTATGGTTGAGTAGTATATGGTTGAAGGGAATCACTTCAAGGATCTTCACAATACGCACTAAAAAATTATTGCTACTGAAGCTACCTAAAAAAAGATGAAACCTAAATAATATCTGCTCTGCCAGAATTCTCTAAGCTGTAAAACTTTTCTACAGAGTGATAAAATTTGCCTATAGAATGGGCTTGAAAAAAGTCACRCATCTATAGTGAAAATCTGATTTTTCAAAACTATCAAAGCAGTTTGGCTGATTCTAGGCAATGTTCAGAGGAGTGAAGAATCTCAATTTCTACTTATCAAATGAATAAAGTTCCCTGGGAATAAGAAATAGCAAAAGCAGTTACAATTACTACAACAGTACCAGAAAGCTGCTAGGCAGGATGCAACAGTCTAAAACACTTAAGAAAACTTCCAGATAGTTTTAGCTGAAAAGCCACATGATAAAACGAAGAGACTGGTACATCTATAGCGAGCAAGAGGACGGTGCAGTTCTGTGCTCTTCATCGGTGGATTTGATCTGTGATGCTGAAGTTGCTGTGGGTTTGTGCTTGGTCCTTAGACTATCGATGGCCACCTTCCTCACCACCTAGAAGAACAAAGAGTATTTTCAAGTCTTATGCACATTTAAGGCACACAGGCCTATCTGACACCATTTGATTGCAGGTAGGTCRGAATGGTAGACACACAGAGCTTACGCTGGACCTTTTTTTTGTGCTATTTTGGGTGCATCAACTTAAAAAATTGAACAAAAAATCTCTCCTATTCCCCTTTTCTCACAGCTTCACATGGTTGATTTCAGGCGCTCACTTTTGGCTCTCAATTCACCTTGATTTTTCTGCAGGCATTGCACTCTGCCCAGAGCAGCTGCCCAGCTCCTGAAAATGCTGGCGATATGGATCCAGAGAGGTGCTGTTGTGGGGGGGGGTGCTCATTTTTGTCTTGTTTTTTGTGTGTTTTTATTTATTTTTGTGTTGGTTGGTTGCTTGCTTGCTTGCCTGCTTGCTTT